ATTTTATATTAAAATTTGTATTGAAAATTTTTTAAATTTCGTTTTTAGGGAATTATTTTTTTTTAATCAAGATAATATTATTAGTAAGTTAAAAATTCTATCACAAATAAGTTTGTGATAATTTTTACTGTCACATTCACTATCTGTGTTCAATTATTTTGTCACAAATAATCTTAATTGTGATGTACATAATCGTTACAAATAAACTAATAATTGTATCTATTTTTTCCATCACTAAAATCATGATTTTTTGTTACGATTGCAAAATTAGTTACTATTAGTTTTAGTGACTCAGTATTTGTAACGGACAGTAATTAATTAAATTTTAGATACAAATGCAATTTGTAACTAAAAATATAAGTTTTTGTGACTAATTTTACCATTACAAAAAACCTGTTTCCTTGTGGTGAGTGTGTAACTTTACAATATGTATGTATTATGATCCATTTTTTTATATAAGTTAATAATATATAAACAACCCTTTTGTTTGTCCAAATTTCCTTATATATATATATATTTTTTTCCTTTTTCATCCTGCCCTCTTTATTATTCTATATTACCTATTCTTTGCATTGCTGACTATCATTATATATCTTCTTTTTTATCCAAAATTTTCTCTCGTTGTCGTTGTCTATTATGAACTTTTAAATCAAAATATAAAAAATGCAACTTGGTAATATTGGTCATTGATATATTTCACATACCTTTCCTTATAGTTTTTCTCATGATTCCATCTTCTAGCTTCCCTCAACATAATTTATCATTATAAAAGACATCCACATTTATTTCCCTCTCTATATTAATATTTATTTATTTATTTTACTTTATTCAATTATAATTTCTTTTGTCTCCATATATCATTATTATCTTTCTTCTCACCCTGTTTTTTTCTCTCTCTCCTTTTTTATATTAAAAATGTTGTACGTCAAAATATAAAAGGTGTAATTTGTTAATATTATTGAAAACCCAAAGCCTTACCCAAATTTTTATTTAATTAAATAATAAAAAATTACAAAAATAGTATGAAAACAAAAAATTAAAAGCATAGAGAAAAAAATTTAAGTCATCATTTTTGGTGGTTTCTCCAATCTGAAGTATGTATACTTACCAAACTTCCTTACACGAGAGTTGAATTTGCTAAAATCCTTTTACTTATGGGTGCAAAATCAAACCAGTACAAATTCTTGTTTGCAGGTTTAGAAAAGGAAGAAGAGAGGCACCATATGACACGGTGTAACGAATTGAGATAGAATAGAATGGTATACGGTGTAAAACAAATGAGTGGATGGTACAGGCAAGCTTCCATGAAATAGCCGGCTAAAACCAACATTTAGCTCCTCACCTTACAAAATTATTAAGTTTTAGCCCCTAACCCTATAATATGATACTTTTAACCCTTTACTTTATAAAGTTGATAGGTTTTACCCATCACATTATATTATAACATTTTTAGCTTATTATATGTACAAATTAAAGAAAATAGCCCTTATTTAACATATGGTTATAATATTCTATTAATTCTGTTAGCTAATTGTCAGTTCTGTTAGCTAACTGTCAGTTTTATTAGCTGATTGTTAGTTCTGTTAGTTGACTGTTAACATCCGTTAGCATTCTATTAATGGAACTAACAAATAAAATTGAATTTAAATTTCATATTCTTTATAACGGAATGCTAATGGATGTTAACAGTCAACTAACAAAACTAATAGAACGTTATAACTTGATGTTAGGTGAGGGCTATTTTTTTTAATTCATACCAATGAGGGACTAAAAATATCATAATATAAGGTAAGAGATTAAAACTTACCAATTTTGTAAGGTGATGGGCTAAAACTTACTAATTTTGTAAGATAAATGGCTAAAACTATCATCTTATAAGATAAGAAGTTAAAACCTACCAACTATGTAAGGTAAGTGGCTAAATGTTAGTTTTTACCGAAATAACCATAGACCCAACAAATATTTTGACCATGTCGACATTAACAGTTAAATATTAAATAATTTAAATTAGTCAATAATTGAAGGTGATATTTATTTTTATATTTTTTTAAACAAATTTGTCTCTTTTTCCCTATTTAAGGATAAATGATGATTGT